TGAGGAGTTGTATCGCCTAAAATCCCCATGAAATAAAATAAAATTTGCAATCTTGACGTCACAAAGGCTACGTTCACACTGCAGGCCTTGATGCTCAATTCAGATTTCTTATTTTTTTTTATCCGATTTTTTTGCTTTGCCTGTCGTTCACATTCCCAAATATATGCGACTTGTATGTGATCTCCTGTGTGAACTGCATCCATACAACATAAGTGTCCTGCATGCGCAGTAGAGGACACAATGACGTCACAAGCAAGCATGCTCTGCGTTTATGGAAGTAAACATGGATGGTAGTGCAGGAGAACATCTAGCTATCTTTCCCAACCTTAAAAACTCAATCTTTCCAAGATGGTTAAACATAAATACTACTCTCCACATCATCATCCACCATTGCTGTTGTTTTTCTTGCCACTTCTGTGTAGCAAGAAGCAGAAGAGTGACCACTGTCGGGTGTTAATGACATTCAGGTCGGATGAACTCGACCTGGCCGTTCAGACACAGGTCGCATTTGAAAATATCAGATTGATATCGGATTCAGGACAACCTTGCCAAGCGGACTGGGTCGCATTGGAAAAAATCGAATCTCTGTTGTTCAGACTGTCATGAAAAGATAAGATCCAGGTCGTATATGGGCAAAAAAATTGGATTTGGGTCACTTCAGGCTGCAGTGTGAACGTAGCCAAAATCTGGTGGAGTTGGTAGAACCTTGATCCTTAAACAAACCTGTATTTCAATCCATATGGTAAAGTTTTCCAAGTCAGTTTAATAAGGGTGTTTCGAGATGTCTTGCAGCTCTTTCTCGGCACGTTATATTTCCGAGTGACTCACTCTGCCTGCGTGTGCCACCATGTTTATTATCTGGCTTTATTTTACTGCTCCTGAGTGTCTGTGTAGGTGCGGAGGAGCTCTGTGTGTCTCCCCTATATGTATGTTGCTCTGCTTGCTGTGGAGAGTAGGTGGATGTCGTGAGACCCCCCCCCACCCCCTGGTATGTGTGTTTTTTATCACTGTCACACAAATCCCTGTCCTCCCACTTTGTTGTACTCTTTTTTTTTTTTTCCCACACCAACCCATCATTACCAGCCACACAAAACAGTTCAGCGTATTTTCTTGTCGACCAGCTGAACTCGACGGTCAGGGTTTTGTCTCCTAATGAGTCAGTTTCTAACAAACACATTGTAATAAACCCTTCTGCGAAAAAATAGATAAAAAAACCCAGTGTGTGTTACAATTATCCCTCCACCTAGCCTAGAATAAACAAGTGCTGGATGCATTGCAGAATGCAAAACAGAGGCCATTAGCTGAGCATAATGTGTCCATATCAGCGAGCTGCCATGGATGGTGGAGAAAAAACATTTATGAATCATCTCATCAGTTACCACATCAACTGGGCTGTAAAATTCATGTTAAAATTCACAACAGCTACACCTTCAACCTATATAAAAGTCTGTTTATTACCTTCAAAAAATGAATTACACCTCCAGTGAGCAGACAGGACAGGACAGATTTGTGCAGGATGGGAAAGGTACAATAAGTCGCTCTAATCTGTGACTCATCTCAATCTACATCCCAAATCACACTTCCATGTTTATCCCCTCACCTGTCCTGGTCCGTCAGTCTTTCTGTTTTTAACCTCTCTGTCCCTCTCCTCCCCACATAACACCAGGGGCCGGCCGCATTTTCATTAATTCATCAGCGACTCCTAGTCTCAGGCCCCAGTCCGGCCCAGCAACTATGAGAGAGAGAGAGAGAGGGTGGAGGAAGTGAGTGCAGAGGGTTTATTAGTGTTTGAAGTGATGGAGGAGAAATTCTATGAATAGACCCACAGCTCTTTGAGATAAGCCCCAACACAATTCCTGCTGTGGAGTTCCTGCTGAGAACGAAGACACTGCTTGAAACTGAGCAGCTCTTATCGTAAATAGATTTAGGTGGCTTACTGTATCTTTTTTATTTATTTATTTTTTATTAATAAATAGAAGCATCTGCATCCAGCACCTCCCCCTGGTCTAGGTTAGTGGTAACAAGGCTTGTCAGGTATAAAGTTTTTCCTGTATGATAACCAATGTATTAATTATTTCACTCATAATAATCAGGGTCCTTGAGATCCTTGAAAATGTGTACATTTAAAAAAAAAAAAACCCTGGGAGGTTTTTGAAAATATATAAAAGACAGCCATACTTGAATGCCATTGAATATCTGGGTTTTTATTGTCTGGTTGATATTGCATGCTGTCAATGTGTCGAATTTTCATGTTGTGTTTCCCGTACATAGTGCGTGTAGTTAACGTGTGCCTAACAACACATACACGGGTGCAAGTGCTCTTCTTGTTGGTGAATTTCTAGTTACGTTGGTTCGGAGTCGCTGAGTCATTGCATAGTGCCATGTATGGAAGATTTCTGGATGGATAGTTGGGTGAATAAAGCTAAGCTGCTTTCTGTTCCAATGGGCCAGAAAAATGAACATCCTGTTTTTTTTTTTGGACTCAGTTTTGGACTCGGTTTTTGACTAGAGCTTTGTTTTGGTTTGGAAAACAACAATGGCGAAATAAGAAAAGGAAATTCTCCCTTCTTCAGGAACACATCGATCAGTTTTTACCCCAAAATGTTTTTTTAAAACAAGACCCAGTTAACTTGTAGACTCGACAAAACTTTCTTGTGAAATATTTATCTATGCACCACTAGATGGCCTCAGTGAGCATTTACTGCCAATATTAGGCCTCTGGAATTTACGCATTCGCTAAAGAGCTACAAGACTTCAACAAAGTGAGATCTCATCCGTGATTGTAGATATTGTAGGCAATGAATATAAATATAAATGATATAGAAATTATTTCTTTTATAGATACAAATGAAGGCTATGCATATTATTATTATGTAGGTCATGAATATAATTAATAATTATATAAGGTATATAGTCCTTTTTCTTTATTGATTCTGATTCAACATCTATACTCTTATGTTTTTTTTATTAAAATAATACTTAATTAGAATAATTTATTGAAAACATTCAGATTTAGCAGTCTGCTGCTGTGTGTGGTCCTTGATTTTGAAGAACTGGTCATGAAGAGTCCTTTAAAAGGTCATTGAATTGGATTTTAACATGTAATGGTAAAGTGTGGCAGCCCTGAATAATGTTATTTCTAATATTTATTTTTTATTCATATACTTTTATTTCACAAGTATAAAGAGCTAATATATGGAGATTCATTTGTTTAACTTGGTTTGGTTACCTGCTCAGGTAGCATTCATGCTTCAGTGAATAAAAAAACTTTTTTATTTCTAACTCCTCCTAGCACACCAACCACACAGACCTGATGGACGATAATGCTCTCTATTTATATCATTTTTATCTTGTAGGCAGCAATGTACCAGTTAATGCACTGTCTACTCTGAGGTAGTTCATAGTCAAGAAACTGGAAAGAAAGAATAAAATGTTTTCTCACCAGATGACTTGCTGGGTCACCTCTGCAAGTCACTCAAACCTGATTGGGTAAAGTATTTTCACCCTTATGCCCTCATTTTTAGTACCAACATTCGAACACAGGTTTCCAAAGTGAAAGAGACAGAAAGCCCTGCAAAAACAGGAAGATAGATTAGCTCTTTTAACCGAGTAAGTCTTGAAAACTTGAATCATCTTTAATGTTATATCCAGCTGTACAGTGTTTAAAATAAAGATATGTTCTTGTGAAAGCATCCTAAAAAAGCAAATCTGTGGGTAATAGTAACTGGGATATTTTCTCTGTGATGTGCATTAGATGTGCACAGATTGTTAGTTATTTGTGGAGGATATAAATGCTGTGATTTTTGGGACAAACTGCACCAGCTGACAGCTGGTCTGGGAAATCACGGCTCTGTTCTAGTCTGGGTGTTTCATAAAGTGCTGCTTATCATGAGCCACGTGGCCATCTATGTTGGTGAGTTAGAAACGGGGTGCTTAAAGTTTCTGAAGGGTCTGCAAAAATCAGAATTTTTTTTAGTCAATTTCCTTTAGGCTTGATGCATATAGCTTTTTGGTGAAGTGGTAATTAGGTGGCTGGTCATCTTGTTAATAATGGGTCAGTGTGTTTTCCCAATGGGGTTTATGGTCACATTAGTGAGGACTTCAGCCTCATCTAGAAGAGAAAAAAGGAAATGTTAGGATTCATGAAGAAAGTCTTCCTGTCTTTGTTTGCCTTTTACTACAGTTTTCCTCTGCCTGTTTGAAGTGTCAGACCAGCCTAGCCCTCACTCCCTCGGTCCATCACTGAGTGTCCTGACCTACTTTTCCAGTAGCTTTTAACATCCACTAACTTGTGAATGTAGTTTTTGTTTTCTCTGCACCTGAGAAAACGGATAAGTATTCATTTGGGGTTTTTGGAGCTTATCCCCTTTTTTTCCTTCATATCTTCACTCTCCCTGCCTGTGTTTATGACTCACCACTGCTGAATTCTGTCAGCCAATCAGAAATCAGCTCTGTCTGGCTGCATAGTTTGTCTCTCCAATGCAAAGTCAAGAAAAGAACCATCTTTCTTCATGTTGTCTTTGCTGCACATCTCAGAGCTGTTTTCGTTGGGTTGCCCATATCTGTTCCTGTGGATTTGGTCTTTGTTTACATAAATATTAGTGCCTGCAGCAAACATCCAACCTTTCATTAACACATTTTACTGTCTCAGTATGTCAGCTTTCTCAGCTGGCTCCAGATGTGTTTACTGGCTCCCTTAGTAACAGATTGTGTCTCTACCTCTTTGTTTAAACACTTTGTTTGCACATCACTACCAACTTTAGTTTGAATCAAGTTGGTAAATGAGTCTCAACTAAAGCTAGAAGCACTTTAAGGGCACCCACTGGTTGATGTATCTCTAAAGTGATTACTTTCTATTTCATTTTTAAGGAGAGAGTTTGGGTAAATGGAGAGCCTTTTAAAAGATGTGGATAAAATAAACCTACTCTTTTATGGCCCTTTTTCTCGTATATATATGAGACTAATTGACCATGTCTCTTTGTTTGTCTGTCTCTCATCAGGGGTTTGTGGTTGTTGCGGGGCACTCAGGCCTCGGTACAAGAGACTGGTGGACAACATCTTCCCAGAAGACCCAGAGGTAAGAAAACCTGCTGGCTCTCTTTCCTCTGTGATGCTTTCTGATTATGTATTTTGCACCAGGATACCTATATGCAGATCTGGCAAATTTGTACATTTCCCTTTATGATGAACCCCTAAATACAGTCCAGTGCAATTTACAGGTTACTTCATTACTGTAGTCCAATTTGTTTGATTTAATCTTAGTTTAAATACAGCTGTTCTGGAAGGAAAGAGCCCAAGCTGTTAGGAAGTATGAAAAAACAAAAAAAAAACACGTCTTTTAACCAAGCTGGTCATAGAGGAGGTTATGAAGTTAAATGTAGAGTTTGGTGATGGTAATGTTTAAACCCACCAAACACTGCTTGGTTAGATTTAACTGAGTTAAACCGTTCACATTTTTTAAAATGATTAAGGAAATGTTTAGATCGGATTTTCTGAACCAGGTCTATTATGTTAAGTAAGGTTGGGCAATTAAATGAATGTAGTAAATGACAGGCTGGGCCCTGTAATGGTCCATATACTGTATGGGTTTTTTAAATATTGACCATGAAAAACCTAAAAAACAAAAAAACTCCTAGTTGTAAGCAAAGCTTTGTTTTTTTTTTTTCATCTAAGTGCAGTGGTAATTCACTCATACTAGCCCCAGTTTATGCCAGTTTACAGACCGGTCCACTGTTTCATTGCCTTTCAGCAGTGTTTTGGACTCTATTCCTCAGGGCACACTGCCCTGTATGTTTTAGATACTTTTTACACACCTGATATCAATTGATAGCAGATTATCAGGCTTTGCTGAGCTGCAGTCGTCTGGTTTAAGTGTTTTGAATAAGAGGAACATCTAAAACATGCAGGACCGTGTGCCTTGAAAAACACCGTCCTACAGACTCTTACAATATACATAAAAATGGTCTCCTACAGCAAATCTCTGACACAGATTAGACTTTTCTGAGAGATTTGGCTCAATAAAAATAAATAAATAATAAACTCATAATTACTATAACATCTCAGCATAGAATTAGAACAATAAGAAAGGGAAAACTTTCTTATTTTAAACTCTTTGACATGAAAACATGTATGTTTACCTTTTGGGTTTTAGTAGCGTACACATTTAGTTTGCAATCATTCCAGTGGTTCTAAAGGCGGGTTCTGAAGGTTTTCTTATGTTGTTGGGTATGCTGTGCTATTTGTGATATCAATGGGACATGTTTTTCATGCATTTACCACCAAGCCAGTGGATCCTCTCCATCAATGACCTCATTTCTCTCTGTGCCCTCCTCTTTGGTGTGCCTCACTCTCCTTAAAAGGCTGCCCAGATAATGTGGCCTCTTTTTAGGTGGCTTTTGTAAAGTTTCTTCTTTTTGTGAGAGCTGCTACTGAATCTGAGTGAGCTTCTAGCAACATTAAAACAATAAGTAATGGCTGGTAAAACAATTTTTACCCAGATTTAAAGGCTTTTTTTTCTGAAGCAGTTTTTTTTAAGCACAGATTAATTTTATTTATTTAGGTTCAGTAATAAATTTGTAAGTGACCAATGATAAAAAACAAACAAAGTGCACCTTACATTCATTTTCTTCCTGAGCTGCTTCAGGCATCGTCTGTGCTACATTTCCTTTGATTCCCTGGAATCTGACTCATGAGTCATAAAGAGAAATCATTTTAGTGGAGATGAAGAGACTGATGTTGCAAAGGAAACTTTTCATTAAAGCTGCGCTGCACCTGCTTTAACCCGATTTAGATTTTAAATATGTCAGGAAGTTCTAATACAGCTACATTTTGGTGCATTTACACCAGTTTCTAATTTTGTGTGTATAAATCTGAGCACTTGCAGCTTCCAATCCCTGTCAAGGTTTCCAAGTTTGGCTTTCTGCTGCTCTAATGGTTCCGCTTTAATATCCAACAAATTAACCTATTATCTATGGTTTAATCATGACTGTTCCACTGCTTTGTCGCCTATCAGCACATTCACAGTATTTCATGCATTTCACAGAGTAACTGTTAGGTTGTATTTTTATGTAAACCTAATGTTTTGACAGGCTTTAGTATTTGGAATGGCTTTTTTGCATAGTAGATTTAGGATTTTAGCTCTGAAGTGTTTGGGAGAATAACAGTGGTCCCTTTATGTTGCAATTGACTTTGGTAAACCTGGAGTAGCAGTTTGATCACAGAGCACTTACTTGGAAAAAGTATTAACGTTTATGATGTCAGTAATGTTTTATTTAAACATTTCCTCACATGCTGTGGTTAAATGATTAAAAAGACAATTCAAAACTTTAAGGTTTACTTAAAGAAGCTGATCTACTCAAAGTGGGTATTGGAAAAGTGAGAATTGGAAATCTTACTATTTAAATGATGCTGCCCCTAGTGGGTTGTAAGGGTGTAAATTACAGTATATTCATTTGATGGATCAGTATAATGTTTGCTGATGTCACAAAGTCTGTCATCAATGAAATAAAATCCTCAACTCTTCAGTCGATACATACAATATTATGTTCCCATCTAATACATGTATAACCTCATTAACTACTACATTTATTCACAGAAACTGTGTTAATAAAACAAAAATCGATAATCTGTTCACATTCTGACTCAGTATGGCTCTAGAAGTGCAGTTAAGATAAGAAACCAAGTCGCTATGAGCGGCTCAGGATGTTAGTATCTACACCTTCTCTTGGATTTCTGCTCCAAATGCAGCCAACAAGCTAATTTATACATTTAGAGTAGACTGAGACTTCATCTGTTTCCTTACATCTGCAATGCTACTTTGAGGGGTTTTGGGTCTTGCTTCAGCAAAATTAGAACCTCAATAGGCTCAGGACATGTGATTTTAGCTCGCTCTCCATTCTTTGGCCAAAGTGAAGAGTGGTGAAGTAGGTCACAGACGGGTGGGGTGTTGGGGGTAGAGTGGAAACTTAGTGATCCAGTTATATGCTTGCATCTAACTTGCTGGATTGAGAATAAGTATTTCACTGTGTTCATTAGATTATTCTGAATTTTCAGCAAAATATTGTTTTACTATAAACATTCAAACACTTAGTGAATTTTGAGAGTGACAACATATTTTTCAATGCTAATATACTAAAACATTAGAAGATGTATTCATTCTGGCTCCCTCTGGTCTTTCTGTGTTCTCCCATAACCCTGCCAGGATGGACTGGTCAAGGCCAACATGGAGAAGCTGACATTTTATGCCCTGTCAGCTCCAGAGAAACTGGACCGTATCGGGGCTTACCTATCTGAAAGGCTGTCGAGGGATGTGGCCCGACATAGATATGGGTAAGACTCTTTCCCCCTGAATTATAGGTATACTCTAGTCATTTTGGTTCTATCTGCTCTACAGTCACCTGTTTTATCACTTTTCAGGTTCAAACATTTTCCCACAGGATTAAATTTATCTCCATTAAAGCTGACATTGTGAAATTCTGGGAAGAATTTCAGATAGCTAAGCTATGATGTAATAAGACATGTGTTACATTTATAATCTCCTTATATCACTGATCTCTGGACAAGATTAGAAGTCATCAAAGAGATTAAGAAGCTCTCCTTCATGATGTATGTGGATGATATTATGTGTTGTAAACATAAAATTCTTAGTCATCATCAGTCTGCTGAGTTATCCAAAGACGGATGAGGTTGGCTTTCATTTGTTCTAATTCAATTAGCAAAAAGAAACAAACTAAAATAGGAGCATTTTCTGCTTAAAGATAATATTCTCTTTGTTTTGAAAGTTAAATATGTCCTTTTCTTGCTTTTGCTTTTGAGGTATGTGTGCATTGCCATGGAAGCTTTGGACCAGCTGCTGATGGCCTGCCACTGCCAGAGCATCAACCTGTTTGTGGAAAGCTTTCTAAAGATGGTGCGAAAGCTGCTGGAGTCTGACAAACCCAATCTGCAGATCCTAGGAACCAACTCTGTGAGTTTACTACATGATCCATAAAGTGTTTTATTTCTTTACGACAGTTACCTTTATCTTTGCTTCCCATTCTTTATTAATTATTTTAATGAGATGGATCAAGATTACTAGAAGTTTATTTATTTTAAGCACATTTACAATCCACATGTTTAAATCTGTGATTGTTCTTTTTTTAAATTGATACCGATTAGTCTTTTTTCCTCATGTTGCTATGAATCTTATCATTTGATTCGCTGGGATCAGTGTTGTTTTTGACAGCCATCTTAGATTTAGTCTTCAGGATTAGTCTTAGTCACAATTTAGTCATTACGATATGTAATCGTTTTAGTGGGTTTGAGTCAACTAAAACTTAAAAAGGTTTTACTCTAGTTTTAGTCAGTTTTATATTGCAAAAAAGTTAAGTGTTACAATTTAAAATAACAACCAGATTATTTAACAGACTGACAGCTCTAGCCTAGATACAACAATAGCTGGGTATAGAATCAATGTTCATCATTGCTGTTGGGCAGAAAACTTTGATTTATAGAATTCAAGTAATTTTTATGAATAAATGCCCTACTTTATTAAAATGTGTCTCACAAAGGCTGTGAAAATAGCTGATCTAGTTCAGCACATTATATTGGTTAATATAGCCGACAGAGAAGCTAACATATTGTACATTAAAAGAATGGTTTTAGACATACAAGGTTTCCATCATTAAAGCAAATACTTCCTGATCTACTATGAATTATGCATTACACACAGATCAATAAAATCTTCATTGCTTGTAAAAAGCAAAGGAAAAAAAAGATTCTTCTCTCCATACTTTGGCAATTTTGGCTTTATTTCTTCGTCAAAGTAGAATTTAATTCACAGGGTTTTGATATAAA